GTATATTGGACAAACTAAAAATTCTCTTAAACTCCGACTTAAAAAATATAAAATATATGTCATAAGTCAGGATATTAACCACCACTTCCATCATTTTACAAGGTTGGATTTTTAAACAACGGTATGAGTTTTTTTCTGCTAAAAGCATTCACGCTGCTCTTTTTCTACTGAACTTGGTTTATAGGAATCGTTCCATATTTTAAAGAAAAAAAGGTCAAAAAATTTTGGGAATGATCTTTTTAGTATCCCACAGTTTCCCAAAATTCGGAAATCTATTCTAGTTTAATCTTTTCACCCTGGAGCTTTAGACAAACCACCTCACACCTGTTTCACATCTCCCTCCCTTTATTATCTTGTTCAAACTTATTCTTCTACCCGTATCGGTCAAAAAAGCTTATCACTTGTTTGTCTCTTTACTTCTCCACTATTATTTCATGCTTAGACTCTGAGAAAATTTTTGTTTATTGAACTGAAAGTATAGTATGTCCATATATGTATGTATTTCTGTATTTTTTTTTTCTTTAGTATACAAAAGCGCAAAATATGCCCATTCCTTTTCAGATGTTATGGTATGTTTTTGAAAACATTTAAACAGAGTGGCGGCTTTTAAATGTCCATATTTGTAACGTTTTGCATTCTTTCTTATTACTTTAATATCTTTTAAACTAGATTGTTCACGATACGAAAAACGGGCGCATGACTTGTCCCAAACTGCATTTATAAAAAAGTTCTAAGCTTTTTCTTAAAGAAATATTGATTTTCCAATTATTTTCCGTCATCCATTAGCTAAACAGAAAAAGTGGCATCCGAATCTACTTATTCATATAAATATCAGTTCAAATCCTATAAAATTTTATACTCTTATGTTTAGGCCGTATAAAAATTTTATGGCATATAAATGTAGAGCATGCTATTTTTTAAAAAGAAAAATAAAGGGTATGTATAAAACATGAATAGAATTTTTTTTTATGATTTTAAAAATCGATTTAATTACTCAGCTCTTTTTTTTCACCAAAAAAAGTTTGAAAATAAGCTCCTTACTTATCTTCAAATATTTTTTTGCAGTTATAATTCAATTTTAACATATTAAGAAAACTTAGTACCTTATTTTGTTAGAAAATATAACTGAAGTAAAAAATTATTGAATTGATAATTTTGTAAGGCATATGTGATACTAGCATATATATTTTTACTTCTGAATTAAAAAATTTATTTTGAATCATTTATCGTTTACTGTCAGTTTCATTTAGTATTATGATATTGAATACCTTGATTATTTGTTTTATCTTTATTTAGGTATTTAATTATATTAACAGTTTTGGTAAATTTTTAATGTAGAAAGATATATATTTCATAAAATGGAATTATCATTTATTTCTGGATACACTGAATTATAACTTTTGATTTCATATGACATCACCAATTAAATTATATAAATTTTAATTTTTCGAAATTATACAAATTAAAAACTATTAAAAATTCCTTTCATGAACAATTGAGCAGTTGATTTTAAAACTAAACAAAACTTACTCAGAACCACAATTAAAAATTATCATTATATGAGAGATTTCGTAAATATTTCGATGGTTGTTACCTTAATATAAGAGAAATGAACTTTTTAGTTTGTATTTATTTTGCTTACAGAATTGCATCGGAGTGCTGCTGATAATTTGTTATTTTCCGTCTCATGGGTTTGTTTTATCACATTAAAAGCAAGGTTGACTTTGCGGTGAAAAAAAGTATTTTGTTAGAATTATCGTACAGTATGATAATAATATTTCTGGTAAAAAAAAAACATAATTTTGATAATAAAACTTAAATATTCTGTATTCCATTCATTTGATAATTTTTCCGTTCATATGGAAATGGTTTGCGGAAATTCTGTTTTTCGAAACTGCAGCTCTTATTACCACAGATTCAGTAAATTCACAAAATTGAAAAATATATTTAACCGAATAAATTAGTTTGTAGGATCTGCTCTAAGGAGTCACCTTAGAGCAGAGCCTCTAAAATCACCTCTCAACAAAATTACCATATTTTATCACATTTATTAAATTCTATCCCATATTATAAAACCATATTTTATTGTAATTTTTTACAAAATCTTTACCGAAGAAATTCGATAGAATTTATAGAGCTTTTGATGTTCCTATGGATCCAGAAACACGGTAAATTTTACCATATTCTAGTAGTTTCGACCATACTTTTTTTTCTCAGTGCTTGTTTCATAAACATTCAAAGATATTTCAATATTTTTTTTCTTATTCAAGGCCTTTAATTATTGGCAGATTTAATTTTACATTAAATAATTTTGAAGCTTTATTTTCAAAAATAGAGAAAAAAATTTGCTTTATATTTATTAATCTTTCTTCTTGGCTTATTCTTTAGAGAGAAAAATCATGTTTGAGTTAAATTTTTTAAATTATACTCTCTCAGGACTCTAAATTTAAAAAAAAAGAAATTAACTATAATGTCACCGTCAACTTCAGAGTTGAATAAGGCTTAATGTCAAAGATCTTTAATTGCTGTTTTTTTACCTTATTTCTGTAAAATTACTGAGTTTCTTTTGAATATTTTTACAAAAATGTTCCATTTTTTTAAATTTATGTTGTTTTTATTATGATTTCTGATAAGTCATTTCTAGTAGATTCTCGTATAAAAATATTTTACACCTCACTTTTTCATATACTATGCATTATTTGAAGGAACTAGAATTTATCTCGTAAGGAACCCATCGTCTTAAATTAATAAAAATTTGCATGATAACAGCACGACTTCAGGGCGGCTGAATTAGGCTTAATATCTAAGAGCTGGAAACTTGTTTAAAGGGTTTTATTTACTTGATTTCTGTAAAATTACTGAATCTCTTTTGAATATTTTTGCAAAAGTGCTCCTTTTTGAAATTTATGTAATTTTTATTACAGCTTCTGACAAATAATTTCTAGTTGATTCTCATATAAAAATATTTTACAATTCACTCTTTCATATATACATTATTCAAATAAACCAAAATTTACCTCGTAAGGAGCCCATCTTCTTATATTAATGAAAAATTGTATAAAACTGAGTTTTGTAAAACTGAATTTAAAAATTTTTTTAAATAAGTTATTCATATAATNCACTCTGGCATATATACATTATTCAAATAAACCAAAATTTACCTCGTAAGGAGCCCATCTTCTTATATTAATGAAAAATTGTATAAAACTGAGTTTTGTAATCAAACTGAATTTAAAAAATTTTTTAAATAAGTTATTTCGATTTTAAAAAAAATTTTTTTAAAACTTTTTAATGAAATAATTTTTGCTGAATTTATTCATCGCTTTTCTTAAATACATGATTAAATGCTTGATGGACTTCTTACACAAAACTATCTAAGCTGTCTCCAAGTTTCCAAGATAGTTGTTTGCTCGGTGAAATAAGTATATATATATATATATACAAGGGGCGATCAAATGAAAAGGTACGAAACGACACGGTGGGTACAAATTTAGATTTTATTCAAAATATACACCATAGGCCTGTGCACAGCGATCCCACTGATGAACAAGCCGCAGGATTCCTTGTTCCCAGAATTCCTGTGGTCTTGACGAGACCCAGTCCTTCACAGCGTCCTTGAGTATGTCGTCCGAGTTGAAGAGCTTCCCTTTCAGGTGGACCAAACACATGGAAATCGCAGGGCGACTAGTCCGGATTGTAGGGCGGATGGTCCAACGTCTCCCACTTGAACTTGGCCAGTTCCATGTGTGTGNTTCTGCAAGTTTAAACGTAGCCCAATCATATTGGGATCCACTTAAATTCGATCTCTGAAGTGGAAAGTTCTGTGGAAAGTCTTTAAGTGTAATATAATTTAGTCTTCAAAGAAGATGAACTTATAAAGATCTCATATTTTAAGATAAATAATTTTTTTATTAGGTGGAGGTTTTGGAGAAAATAATTTTTGTTGAATTACAGTCTTGTACAATATGTAGGCTTACATGGGCAATTAAAAAAATTTGAATTTTCTTTTTTATTTTACAGAAATCTTAAAATAATATCAAAAATGTCGGCATTTTTACTTTTATTGTTTTCGCAACAAACCTTATATTACAATGTTTTTGAATTTGTATAATCTTCAATAATATAATTTCAATTTATTTTAATTTTTTCGAATAATTAAATTAATATTGATTTAATTAATTAGAAAGAGGAACAACTAAAAAAATTTTAAGTTTAGGAAGTTTTGTTAAAAGTTTCACCATTTTTTTTTCATTAACTTTATATGTTTTAATGAAATTTATTAAACTATATTAATTAGTTTTAACTACTTATCTTTCTTAAATATTCTAAGAATTGTTTATAAGCATGTAACATATTTCAAAATACATCGTTTACTTTTTATAAAATTTATCCATTACTTTTTCAAAAAAAGTATAATATGTTTAAAATTATTAAATTTTAATTAAATTTAAAGCCTCTTTATATTAAATTCATTGTATTATTTTTTATTTAATTATTAGCTCCATCCAAAACCTAACTTTAATTTTCAATAATTTATGAGTACCGATGACGAGAGTTACATATTTCCAGTCCACTCTTTTCTCCTACACATGAAACATTTAATTCCGACTATTATATGCATAAAAAAATATTATAGAATCTCTTTCAACACCTATGTTTGGTATAGTTACCATAGAGACACTAACGTATAGTTAGAAATCTAACAACAATACAATAAACGACTTCAATTAATTGTTTGAAATATAAAACACGCCTTTCAATTTTTTTTAAAAAAGGGAGTTCAGGGAATTTTAAAGAGCGTGAATTTCCTCTGAAATGTTTTATCTCATGAGAAACAAATGTTCTATTAAAATTTCTTAACAATGTCCTTTCAATTGTATATTAATTTGAGTCATTTTGTAAAGATTCTAGCAGTGCGACCGGAACTACTATACTAACTGCAATGGCTTTCCCCTTGCCGATCAATACCCAAGCAGTGAAGGAGGGCTAGGTCGAGAAGAGTTTACCTCTACCATGGCTCAACGTCTGCAGTGGCGCGTTGGTATAGGACTCTTTAGTGGATAGCGCATCAAGGCGAAAAGATCACCGCTTGGGCCGGACAACCCCCTTTCCAAAACAACAACAAATCCAAAAAAAGGGGGAAATTTTATTTCATGTTTTTATTTGGTGCCTCTTTCTAATAAACAAACTTCGTCCTGAAAGTGAAACGCCCCGGTGGTGCTCCTCCTCATTAAACTGGTGCTGCTCTTTCGTCCCCTTCGCCAAGACAGGAAGTAAACTTTGGTGGAAAAAGTTTTATACTAATCCTCATTCGCGGTCTCTTCTCGCTCAAGTTCTCGCGCTATGGAAACAAAATAACACAGAAGGATTTAAGTCGCAGATGATCCATAATCCGAGGATTTGTATAAAACTTTTTTTTTATTTGTAAGCTGGCCACCCGTCCCTTTGGAAGCTGTCTTAAAAAGATAAGTTGAAGTCTCAATCTCTTTTACTTAGCATAGAACAATTCAACTCTTTTTCTCATTCTATCTATCTCTATCTATCTTTTTCACTGATTAGCTCAAATTAAGAAAAATTTCAGAAGGAAATAAGAGCCACGTGACAACATTAGCTCTTTTATACGAAGAATAATATTCTCAAAGTGCACTCTAATTAGATAACTAGTGCTCAATTCAATATCTATTTATTGTAGTCCAGCATTTAGGAGTATTTACTAATTCAAAGCGCAAACATAGCAATTGTTTCTTAGCATGTTTAGATCCGGCCATGAGAAAGATATATAAATATTAAGCATTTGAACTAGTGAAAGCTATTGCCATTTCCCATTATAAAGATTTATTTATTTTTATTATTCATTGAATCAGCTTTCTGTGCCATGCCCAAAATAGGCCATCCGGGCAGCAGGCTGGTAGAGGACTTTAAAATAATAAGTGTGAACCACGTGCCTGTGTCTTCTGGTGCTGTCCAATGGCACCGGTAGTTCTAACCTCAGAATTTAGCCAACGTAGTTCTTCTACAGCCAGACATGAAGACCGTCAGTAAATGGTTATTACCACCTGTGAAGCACCGTCGTTTAAGTTGTGTTCGTCCTACTTTAGTGCACTTACGACTTACTAGTGATTCAGTTTCCTCGGAATGATCAGACGTCGGACTCGAAAACCAACAAACTATCTTTATTCAATTTTTAGTACTTTACGATGATAAGAATAGGATTCCAACTGAACGCCAATTTAGTGAGGTAATATATATTTATTTTTTTTACATTTCCTTCCTTTTTGTACCTAAAAGTATAGTAAATATAATCTATTTACTGAAATATAATTATATTTTCGCATTATTCCTGATATAACAATTGTTATCGATCATACTTTAATCTTCAAATCTGTGATTTAGAAGTTTTAGTTATTTTTGCTAACATTATGTACACAAAACATTTGCATAACATAAGACATGAAAACTCTTCTCCCTTTTATTAAGAAAACTTATTTTTCAATAAAAGACAAATTTTACATTCTTTTCTGTCAAAAGTTATAATGCAATTGCATCTTCTTTCAGAAAAAAATCCTTCTCAAGAATAAAATAATTATTAAGATAATTATTTTTTACGCATAAATTGATATTATAAAGTATAAATCTGTTTTACAAAGATATTAAATTTAAAATAAATAAAACTATGTATGTAAAAAATAAATTGATTTAAAATTTCTGCAAGTTTAAACGTAGCCCAATCATATTGGGATCCACTTAAATTCGATCTCTGAAGTGGAAAGTTCTGTGGAAAGTCTTTAAGTGTAATATAATTTAGTCTTCAAAGAAGATGAACTTATAAAGATCTCATATTTTAAGATAAATAATTTTTTTATTAGGTGGAGGTTTTGGAGAAAATAATTTTTGTTGAATTACAGTCTTGTACAATAATAATATTTCAAATTTTTGAAAAAAATAATTAAAAAGTAATAAAAACTACTTAATTTTGGTTTAAAAAAAAAAAACAAATTATGTAGTATATAAAAAAATCATATGTTAATTTTCTCTGTTCCTATGGTAACGGTTTACCGAAAATTATCGTTTTCAAAATTATAGTTTTAATTACAATATATTTATTTAAAAATGCAAAACTGAAAAGTAAATTTAACGGAATAAATTTTTTTACCATGCTGTAAGATATCTTGATAAAGTCGACAAATTTTACAACATTTTATCACATATTATTAAACCAAATTTTACTGTAATTTTACCAAATTCAGTACCAAAGTACTTCGGTAAAAATTTCCGAGTTTTTAGGGGCCTAATAGAGCCAAAAACGTGGTTAATTTTCCCCTATTCCGGTAGTGTTAACCATTTTTTTTTTATCTCAGTGTGCTGTAAATAATCCTCTTTTATATGTTTGCTATAATATATAGTAGGCGAGAATGAGAGCTTTAATATTCGTAAATTGTAATCCTAATAAATACATTTTTCTGATAATTTTTCCTTTTTATTAGAGATAAAAGTTAAAACTAGTAAAAAGCTGTATTAATTACAGTATAATAGTAAGCCATTTAGTAGGACGGACAAAGAAATTATATACTTTTGGATTCAATCTCAAGACACTCTATCAGTTTTCAACTGCATACTAACCAGTACGCAATGAGCAAAAAAATTTTCCTTTAAATACGACAGAAAATAGTTTACAAATAAATAAGTTTATTCGCATTTGATTTTAAAACTATATGATCTTACATTTTTTAAAAATATTTTTAATTAACCATTTAGAATTAATTTAGCATCAATGGTCAATTGATAAGTTTTAAATCTATTTATAAAATTAAATCATTAAAATTTGATTTTCCTTGCCGGTGGTTGAGGCTAATAATGTTGAATTTTTATATTTATTTCTAAGCCTTTCCTTTAAGAAATATTAAAAAAATTAATTTTATTTGAAATAATTAAGTCTAGATGAAATGTCAAAATCAAATAAACAATTACACTTTTTGCTTTATTGTTGAATTCAAGGGAAAGAAAGGTTGAGATAAATTGGAATATCATTATGAATTTGAAATATAAAACTCTTTTTTTTTTTGATTTTTGGTTTTGTGTTTTTGAAAATTTTAGTTTCGATTCTACTTCTGTTACCAAAGCACTTCTTTTGGCTAATTTATATATGTTAAACTAGCAATAAAAACAAATTTGACTATCAAAAATTATATTTCAACATTTAATTTTTTTAAAGGTTTGATATTTAATTTTATACCTTCATTGATTAATAAACATAATTCTAAAATGGTTTTTTTGATCTATAGCTATTTTACTTCAAGAGACGTTTAAGGTTAAGAAAAATTATAATTATCAATTTTATTCGTTAAAGTACGAACAGAATTTTGAAAATAAAAGGAATGTGTATTTCCTTCGGTTATTCTTGCGAAAGTATTCAAATAATTGAATATTAATCGATTCAACGTATATCAAACATTTGAGCACTTTTTCCTATACAGCACTTAATCATTAAAATAAAATATTTTTAAAAATATGTAAAAAATATTTTATTCAAAAAAGAAATCCGGAAAACAAAATATTTTCGTAATAAGATCCCTCTATTTACGCTTCTAACCTCTATTGTCGCTTCCGTTTTCATATTTTGTAATTTGGCTATCTTATTGCGAAAATATCTTAAATTTTCCGTGAAAATTCCGATACGTGTAAGTTCATTTGAATTCACTACTCGCTTTATGGATTTCGTATTGTGTCTTATTTTGCATTTTCTGTACATTTTATTTTCAGTTTTTGTTTGGTATGCTTAATACCGTGTATATTATTTACTTAATAAGTACTTTTTCGTTTAAATTTTTTTTAGTGCTCTTCACACTATTCTATTGATATATTTTGATTTGGCTCTATTGATACGATATTAGAATGCACTCTTTTATGCAGACATAATCGTGTGAGCTGATGAGGAGAATATATCTTATCATTATTTTGAATTCTGGAGTTTTAATAATTTTTTTTAAATAAAATTTTTTTAAATATTTTTAAAAATTATTTTTCCTCTTCTCTTTTTATTAATCTTTATTACTTTTCATGTTTCCTCCATTNTAAGCAATAAAAAACACGAAGAAAATTAAGAAAAACAATGTGTTTTATTTATTGATCATAAGCTGCAAGTAAATAGAACTCATAAAACATGGGAAAAATTACATAACAATTAAAAAAGGAGGAGAAAAGAGAATAATAATAAAATTAAAAATAACAAAAAACCGGGAGAGGGAATTCGAAAAAGAGGAAATATATATTTTTTTTAATTGTCCTTTTTTTTCGGATTTTTTTCCCGGTCTATTAATATTTTCTAGATGTCAAAGGGTAAGAAGCACATAACATAGTTACATATAGTATATTAGAAATCAATAAAACACCCAGAAACTAAAAATAACTTGATTTTATTATTTAAATTGAGGACAATAGCACAAATAATTTAAATGGTGGTATTTAAATAACCAGTAAGGCATTGTCAGAGAGTACCATTAATCAAATTTATTTTAAATCAAATTTACTCAGACTGGAAAGGGATTTTTTTTTAAATAAAATCTTGAGATTTTTTTCGATTGCAAATTTTTGAAATCTGTAATTCTTCCCGATTTCCAAAAGAAGACGTTACTATGCTTGTTTTTCGCGCAGTGAGAAATAAAAACGTGGTGAAGTCCATTGCGGAAAAACATTTATGAAGGAACATATATCTCTTTTAATACAGCCTGATGGCAAATACTCGGATCATGTTTCTCCTGCAAGTAGTAAAGCAAACAGATATTAAGAGGTGCATTATGAATGACCTCATTAAAAAAAACACAAATACCGATACGTTTTTTGGAATTATCTGTTCTGGGTGTAAAAAGTGGCGTCATTTAACTGAGAAAAAGAGAACTTCATGAGCCACTGTCATGGCTGATTTGCATCAACACGAAAATGAATCTCCTCTTTTTCGGATAGGATAGAAAGAAACATAAAAATCGTGTACACATGTATGGTTTTAAGTTTTTTCCTATCAATTCAAAACTGCAGGAGGTTTTCTTTGTGTAATTTAAGCATCGACCAGAAAGAATATCAGAAAGAAGCCAGGCTGTGCACCGTTAAAAATTTCTCGGAAAAAATGGTTAAATAACAATCTATTCTATTGTTATTTTACCATATTTATGCAGTCAAACAACCATAAATAAGATGGTAATCAAACTATTAACAGTGAGAAAAATCGTTTATTAACTGTTTTTACATAAAACGGTTAAATAACCAGAATTTTATTGCATAAACTAAGCCCACCTAATGAAGCAACTTAGTTCCTTGCAACTACGTACATATTATTGCCGAGAGGGCTAATCTGTCAATCTCATGACCGACAGTGCGGGGATTCGAGTCTCAGGGTTGACACCTGAATTCCCTTTAATACATGAAGAGTTATCAGTGTCCTACCGTCATCAATTTGCGTCCTCGACTCTCCAATGCCTATTACCTAACGAGAAGCCTAGCTCCTGTGTCCAGTTGAATTTCTCTTTTTACGGTTTTGAATTTTTGTAGCTGTAAAGGGTTAGAAAACCGTATTGCTTTATAATCATGGTTTTATTACCATACTAGTTGTAAACGCTTTCAAAACCGTAAATGCGATAAATATTCTTTACCCTAAACTTTACGGTTAATCGGATGGACAGATTGCTGCCGATTATTTTACCATAATTTTAGAATGAAAATTCTAATAGCGTGTCTATTGATCTATGTTCTAAATATTTGGCAGTTGCAAACCCCCTGAAAAATATCACTCTCTGAATGGCTGATAACAGTTAATCGTATTTCGCACTTAAACATTTCCGAACCAAATCCTTCATCAAATCCTATAACAGTAATGATATATATTCTGAAGATTTACGTCCCAGCCTGGTTTACGACAAATTTGCCAAAGAAATTCCACAATTTATGGTTCATATATTGTTCATCAAAATTGAATCTTCTCTCATTCTCAAGATATTTATTTGGACATATTTTAGGACAATCAAAAGCAAACCAGGATTTAGAAATTTCTCACATTTTCAAAGGTGGTGTCGAATTATAAGGGATTTTCAGTGTTCCGAAATTCAACTTCAAAGTTCTTAAGACCATATTGACCAGATTGAATGGCACTATCCCGATATTTAAAATAACATCCTACCAGTTGTTTCAAGAGTTACAAATGATGAAATGAATGAGAATAAGCAAAATAATTTATTTTCATTCGCAAAC